AAATTTAATACAAAATCAGTTTAATTTTGAGTAATTCACAATAACTCGATACTAAGCCAGATTAATGATTACCTTACATTATTTGAAACACTTGCATCATCGACTGTTAGTTACATCGACTATATTTTACAACAATTTATATATAATGTGATTTACGCATTTTTTGCCATACTTGCGAGCCACCGAAAAGGCCTAGTATTGTTTTGCGTACATTTCGGCTAGCCACCGAAAAGGCCTTATATATAAATATATAAATACATATTTATATAAGTATATATATTTTTTATGTATTTAAAACTTTATTTTTAATAATATTACTTTAACAGTATTTATTTACATATATATTTTTAAGCTATAATTTTAAAACTAATTTTTTTTCTACTGCTGTTGTTAATGCAGCAATAGCCATCATTATTTCTTTCATGACATGAATTAAATTCCGTAAATAATTAGTTATGTATAAATAATAATAATAATAAAACATACATCTGGCAGCTTTCCACCACATTCGTATTAAAATTCAATTGTTCACATGTATGCGGAAATTTTTAGCAGCTGTTTTTAAATTCACCACGAAAGAAATGAAACAAAACAGTTTTCTACCACGAATTAGATATTATAAAACTTTTTTAAAAGACTTTTGAGTCAGAATAGCTAAAATCTTACTTTTAACGATCTTTGCCATAATTGCCCTGTTATGATATGCCTTGCTTGATTTTAATTCATATAAAATAATAATTTGTTTTCACAAACTCGATTAACTCAACATATGTATGTGCATCTATGCGCTACGATGATTCGATTATATTAAAGTCAAAAAGCAATATAGCCTTTATTTCTGTAATCACGCCATTAACTAAAAATTTATTCCAAGGGGCTATCAAATAATTTCAGTAATTTAAAAAAAACGTTATCTTATAAGAAATAATATAAAGATTGTCCTTTAATTGATTTCTAAAAAAACTGTTGAATTTCCATTAATTTGTTTCCAAAATGTGCACTTACAATGCTTTTAAAAACTTGTTTAAATTTATGTTCATTAACCTATAAGAGACTATTAGGCCTTTTCTTTTGTAAGCATAACGCAAAAGAACAACCGCTTAATTTAAAAATAACATATGAAACAACAACACTGCTAGCTTATTTAGTCAAATCGCATGATTGCCAAGACTTAAAACTCGTCTGTATATTTTTATATATAAATCTATTAGACATCAAAATAAACATGTTCGGTTTTTCGAGAGTTGCCATCGAAAGTAATGCTTATTTTAAGTTGTTCTTTTCCGACATGATTACCTATTTTAATTTTTTTAATTACTTCTGTTGTTTTTCAACTCAGTATCTAAATAATTATTAATGGAATATGTAACAAAAAATATTGTTCACCCTATTGTGCAAAACTATGAAAAAGAAAAGCATGACACTTTTGTTTCAAAATACAACTCTGAAAAATTGAGAGTATTACGACAGAAATAAAGCAGAAGCATTTATGTAGTACAAAGCAAACGGTCGAGCGAAAAGGTTTGATTTTTCAAGATGTCGCAAAACATCAACGATGAAAATGACGCAAATGAGCAACGTGATATTGAAAACATGGTACCTGAAGGATTGGTTCCAATTCGCATGAACTCTATACAACTTCCTGGAACTTCCCATCTAGAAGACATTCCAAATCAATTTTGGTCACCACTACTTCGCCATATTCAACCTCCGGGTTTTGCACAGAATCCTTTTCCATCATTGTATCGGCCTGTATTCCCCGTTTTAAATTATTTTCCGGCAGGGCATACTACAGCAGTTCCTGGTCCAAGCTCTTTTCCAGCAGTGCGTCCAAGTGTGCCCACGGATTTTGTTAACGTACTTCCTTCTGTGAACTTAAACGATGTACGTGAAAATGAGGCTCCAGAACAGGCACCCGGTAGTCATGGATCTGCTTTAGAAGATGACCATGAAAATGATATGGACTTTGTGTATGTTTTTCAGATAACACATAGAAGATTTAATTATTACTTATAGAGAGTCAAAATATTAACGCAGAACAATAAAGCCACTTTCCAATTTCACGCAAAGCAAAAAGTCAAATTTTTACTATCTTATCGGTTTGGAACCTCAATGTAGAGAATCAGTTCAGTAATAATAAAAACACTGGTTGGAGAACTATTATTCGATAAACAAAACAGAGAGCAAGAACAGATCTTTTTATATTTGTACAAATTAAATAATTTAATGAAACTAGTAACTTCGTGACAGACAATAAGTTAACAAAAACAATCGAATAAGTTCTGTATCAAAAATATTAATGTAAGATTACAAGAATAATAAAAATAACATAATATATATTTGAAATATTTTATTTTGTGTTTGGTAAGTATCGAGTGGTACAGTGGTACTAGCTATTCCGATTTTAATAACCAAGCCATAGAATCTCAAGTTCAATGGTCTTTAGGAATATCTGTTCTGATGTACAATAAATTACCAACAGCTAGAAATGTGGAACGAACCCTTCACAGGAAATCGTCTATTTTTTCCATACATTGGTTTCCGAAAAGCTGATATTTGATTCCAACAACTAACACTACGTATTTGGCTTTGAAACAGATTGCACTAGAATCGTTACATTGATTCTTCCCGCTAAACTGGCAGGTATGTGCTCTGTTTATGGGATTATCGACATCGTCGTCACTGCTTTACGAAGATACTGTTTAATATGTATGTTTTACTTTATTTATGTGACGGTTAAGTGAATTATAATTTGTTTTTACAAGAATTTATATTTGTGAAAATGCTTCACACTCTTAACAATTTCACAGTCAATTTTAAATATATAATTCCCTTCCACAATTACTCATTCTACTGTGTACGAACAAGGAGAAGACTAACTATACTATATAAAAGTGTGAATATGTCAGCTATTTTACGAGATTATCGTGAATCTTAGTTAATTTTTTCTTCAGACTTCAGATTTTCTTCAGAACTGAATATTCAATCCAGTCCTCTGGACGTAAGCAGCGGCTTCCGACTGCCAATGGCTTCATCAATAGTATCGAACGACAACAGTTGAAACAGTAAAGTTGCAGTGCAAATGTCACCTATGTTGCATCAGTATTTAGGTAGGGATGTACATATTGTACCATATATCATTCAGTTAGATATGTGCAAATGTCCTTATTTGAACATTTCCATCTCAAACATACACAATTAAAAGTAAGACACGCTTAAAGGATGAAGCGAAGCGTTCATCGGTGGTTTTTTCGCGGAAGGTTTTAATTAAAAGCGGAGCAGAATTCGAGTGTGTAGAGACAATTTAATTGACCCAAACCCGCGAAAGCAGGATATGTGAAAATGATTGCAAGGATGTTTATATTGTCTGTTTGTTTGTGCAATTTGAAGTAAATCTAAAGTGAAAGTGTGAAGAGCAGTAGCAATTATCGCACTTAAAGATTGATACGAAGGAGGTACCGTACTTTATTAATTTCAAAATAGTTTTTAGGATATTTAATTGTTTTAATACGTTGGTCATATAAATTTCTTTTTAAATATAATTAATATTTTTGTAATTTATACTGTTGCAAAGTTTCTTCTTGCATAAAGTTACATTCCTGGCATATTAAAATTTATAAATAAATTTCTGATTAATTTTTATTTGTAAGAAAGGAAATCCAATTCAGGCAAATAAATTTATCTTAACACTTTATTTTTAAAATATAAACAATATATGGCTTCAGTTTTTTCTAACGTATTTAAGTCAACACCTATTAACACACATTATCCACATACATTATCCGAAAATTATGACACAAGTTATAAAGTTGTAAAAAAAATGAATGACTGTCGGTAAGCATTTGCGTTTTTGAGAATAATAACATAATAACATATATGTACTCTGACAGTACTTGTTCATATCTGATATCCTTCGAAAGGGTTTAATTCTTACACTTTAAAAATAAAGTAATTCTTTAAAAGTAGTAGGTTTCCAGATAAGAACCTTTTGCAAATAGTATTTCATCTTATGTGTGGCTATTTTTAAGTTCTCAGATAAGGTTATTTACTCGAACTCAATTAAATTCTAACTACTTCCAATATTCACTTTCAGATAATAACAGTACTGGATCTAATTTTAAGAAGAAGTACATTCGAGGAACACGTAATATCTTTTGTGACGATGACTCTGCGTAACGAAATCAACACCTTTCCAGGTGTAAAAAATGACATTTACCATTACGACAATTTGACGGACTTGTCGTATATATTATAAATATTTGAGAGTATCTGAAAATATTTTACGGTTGAAGAAACATTCACGAACATGTTTATGTTGTATAAAAAAAATCTTAAATCAACCAACTCGTCCAACATATTTCCTAATGTAATTCCTGGACTAAGAAGTGAAGGAAATTTCATGGGCCAGGTCGTTCTACACGTTTGCTGATATATTTTTTCTACCAAATTATCTGCAAGGATAATTAAAAATTGAAAAAGTATGAGAAATTAAAATCTATAAAAATGATCTGTGGACTTTCTCTACAACAAAGGCAAATGAGGTGTACTAAATTTTTGATTACTAAACAGAGAAACATAAATAATTTTAAGATAATAACAATTATAATATAATAAGACTGTGACAAAAAAAATTTGTTTGATTGATGTGATTTGTTGGTTTATTAATAATAGTATAATAATTCTTTAATTAATAATCACATAAAATTATTTGGAATCTATTAGGTGGTATACAACCATTATACTATTTAAAAATAATCGTTTAATGAATTATTTACGTATGACACCTGAATAGTCTATATTTACTTGCTTAAAACCTACTTTTTACCGATTTTATCATTCATCATACAGATATAGCTTTGAATGAACTTATGGGAAATTGACAAAGAACTTTTTATTTGATAGCAGTTTTCAAAAAGTTAACATGTTTTTTAAATGCCAAATTTGCATTCTGACTGTTTTAAATTGAATAAACATAAATATAATTTTCAAATACAGTAGATTTAAACACAATATCGTAAGAAGTTACCTTAAACGTAATCAATTTTTATAAGGTATATTATTGTGTTACTTGTGACTTGGAGCCTCACGATTGCAGGTGATATTAAATTCGTTCGTTAGTTATCTGTAAGTTACTTTCTTTAGAAATTCGTTAATGTTAATGATCTCAGCTTTTAAAACCAATTCTCTATCATTGTATTAGAAATTGTAGAACTTATTTCTTGATTTAACTCTTAACTCTTGGAAGTATATCACCGTGGAACTATTCAGATCAGTGTTCATACAAGTTTAGCCAAGTACTGTTGGAAGTACTGCTGTGACCTTTAAGAAAATTGCTATCTGCATTGATCAGTGGTTAAGTCCTTATGGTTTGGTAAGTTAAACATCACGATTCTTCGAGATATATGACACAGTCCCTTATAGTAGAAATTTTTATTATAACATATATAAGCTCAAGTCTTGAAAGAAACTAAAATGAATTTTTTTTAATATTATCTCTTGTGCCTGGTCGTTGCAGCTTTAAGTAACCAATAAAAATTTGAACTATATTTTTTTAATTTACTAATACTTAATATCAATTGAAAATTGAAAATTAAAAACTGAAAATCACAATTAATACGTGAATAATATTTGAAATCCTTATTGTTTTAGTTCATCATACAGAGCAGCGTACCTTAAGGATTTATTTGGTGGAAACTTTTATTATCGTGAACTAAAACTTAAGTAATTATAAAAATATATATAAAAAACAGTAGCTTTAATATATTTTTTTAGACAAAATGACCATTCTTGATTTAGAAATTGAAGAATCCGACTTTAATGAAACAGAGCTTTCATTGATAATGGAAGACCTTCGGGAGGCCATCAGAACTCATAACTCTATAGATGACATAATGATCTGTATTCAAAACTGTTGGAATGATAAGGGAATAACGGACTATAATATTGCTTATAACCAAGAATTTATTCACCTATTTCGTGAATTTTATAGTCATTATGCAAGAATTAGATATATGCAGTACAAAATTCAAATAACCAAACCCAAGGGCAAATAGCTCTTGAAAACAATCTTATATAATTATAATTTTAAAAATATGATTAAAATTTCTTAACAATATTTGATATTTTTGATTAATATTTGATTATAAGACATAAATATGTTAAGCATATATCATATATTCCTATATATTAAAAAATATATATATTAAATCAATATACCATATATGGAGAAGTGTGATGTTGATATGGGAGGTTATTTGCACTAAAACTGGCGAAACACAAAAAGATATTATCAAATTGGTTGGTTACGGACTTCAATTATGAAATTTATTTGATGAAATGGCTATGACTTCGCGTTTTATAAAAAGAGTGTTCAAGGCAAGACTAGCATTCGGAAAAAATCATGAAAAATGGGAAGCGACAGTAAACGATAACGTTAATCTGACTCTATTTATTACATCAATTAGGTGCGATGCAAAGAGTTTTAAAAGTTTATTATATTGTTAAAACTAGTATAATTATGGGGACCCAATATCACAAATTATGCAGAAGCCATGCTTAAATACCTATGATTAGATTAGTCGCGAGTTGCGCGAGACCCGAGGGCTGTGGGCCGTGTCTTGGACAGCTCAAATTTAAATGATATTTATTCTTAAAATTCCGATATCAAGAATTTTTTTATTCTCCACAAGTTTCCAGGATATACTGAAAAGGCTTTTTAATTTGTTTTCTGTGGAAAAATAAAAAAAAACTTCCCACAGAATATGGAACCATATTTTGATATGAATGTTCATTGCACTTTATATAAAAAAATTTAAATAATTTGAATATAAAATAATGTATTAAATTTGAATTAACTTTATATCGGAGAAATACCATTTTTTCACTAGTATTACTTCAGAACTCAAAACTATACATTATTGTTAGAACTAAAGTATTGTTTGAACCATAAGATTTTTTTAGTGATCAATTTTATTCTTTATCTAAGTTTTTGATTGAAAATTTCTTTAAAAATTTGCGAATTCTGTTGTCTCACCAAATTGCTTCCATCATTCATTCTAATGGTTTATGGAAAGTGAATCCCCATCGTGTTAAGACTGGTGTTTCTATAGTTTTGAAGTTAAGAACTTCTCAAAAAAATTGTTGTGGACTCCGTTGGTTATTTTCGGTAAGTTCTCTTAACAAATGTTTGTTTTATTGATAATGGAATCTAAGTTTATTTTAATTTTATTGCGTTTAGTTTGAAGGACTTTTAAGCTAAAGTGTTTATTTAGTTAAATAAAATGACGGTCCTTGACCTAGAAATCGAAGAGTGCAATTTGAACCAAATAGAAATAAATCACATTCTGGAATTTCTACGCGATGGCATAAAGGCGCTGAAAACAGTCGATGAAATCGTTAAATATGTTAAAAGTTGTCTGGATCAGATATGGTGTGCTGGGTTTCACATAACATGCCATCCAGATCATTCTGTACTTCTTGTACTTCTTCATTGAATTGAAATCATTAAATTTAAATTCAAATTAATTTATTGTAAATCAAATCAAAAGTTAATTATGACGCTAGGAATACTTCTGAATGGAAGCAGTTTTAAATAAAATCTTGAACTAAGTAATACTTAAAACAGTAAAGCATTTGAAATTGTTAAGAGTATATATGTATTGTACAGGGTTATCCATTTTGTGGTTTCGTGAACAAGTGTGTATATTTAAGGTTGGGAGATTTCGATCAATTAATTGTTTGAATGTTAACAAACCTTCTTATTCAAATCCTGCAAAACTGAATTTCTTTGAGATAGTTTTCAATTACGCCATTGTATTATAACCAGCTCAGATATAGTAGTTTATTGCTCAAACTCCTTGAAAGTAGTAGGTTTTCATTGTCTTATTATCTTATCTGTGATTTTTATTTTTTCAGTTCTCTTATATGTCTCCAAACTGTCCTAACATAAAAATTATTGATCCACATTTCAAGATCAATCACTTACTTAATTTAATAAAGTAAATGTTAAAGTAAGTTAGTATAACATTATTAATTTTAAATTTAGAATGTTTAGATGAAATTGATTCGATATTATCTTTGAGTCATTGTCTTTGATTTAATTGATTCCATGTTATCATGTTATTCTATCTTGATTTCATGTTAAGTGAGTCCATTTTTCCCAATAACGGTTATTTGCCTTAGAATAGTTTATAGATTTTGCATAAACAGAGGACTAAAAATAATGGGAGTAGGAGTTTATCAGTCTACAGTTTAATTTGTTATTAGAACTTCTTTTATAATATGTAGTCATATTTTGTGAATAATATATATATTTACATGTATATTTACTTTTTTACAACACATTTCTAAGCAGTATTTGTAAATATGGAATATAACTTCACTGATATTTGGGTGGATAAACCTTTTAAGAATATATCACATATTTAATGAACAATAGATGTTTCACAGGTATTTAAGCATGGCTTCTGCATAATTTGTGATATTGGGTCCCCATAATTATACTAGTTTTAACAATATAATAAACTTTTAAAACTCTTTGCATCGCACCTAATTGATGTAATAAATAGAGTCAGATTAACGTTATCGTTTACTGTCGCTTCCCATTTTTCATGATTTTTTCCGAATGCTAGTCTTGCCTTGAACACTCTTTTTATAAAACGCGAAGTCATAGCCATTTCATCAAATAAATTTCATAATTGAAGTCCGTAACCAACCAATTTGATAATATCTTTTTGTGTTTCGCCAGTTTTAGTGCAAATAACCTCCCATATCAACATTACACTTCTCCATATATGGTATATTGATTTAATATATATATTTTTTAATATATAGGAATATATGATATATGCTTAACATATTTATGTCTTATAATCAAATATTAATCAAAAATATCAAATATTGTTAAGAAATTTTAATCATATTTTTAAAATTATAATTATATAAGATTGTTTTCAAGAGCTATTTGCCCTTGGGTTTGGTTATTTGAATTTTGTACTGCATATATCTAATTCTTGCATAATGACTATAAAATTCACGAAATAGGTGAATAAATTCTTGGTTATAAGCAATATTATAGTCCGTTATTCCCTTATCATTCCAACAGTTTTGAATACAGATCATTATGTCATCTATAGAGTTATGAGTTCTGATGGCCTCCCGAAGGTCTTCCATTATCAATGAAAGCTCTGTTTCATTAAAGTCGGATTCTTCAATTTCTAAATCAAGAATGGTCATTTTGTCTAAAAAAATATATTAAAGCTACTGTTTTTTATATATATTTTTATAATTACTTAAGTTTTAGTTCACGATAATAAAAGTTTCCACCAAATAAATCCTTAAGGTACGCTGCTCTGTATGATGAACTAAAACAATAAGGATTTCAAATATTATTCACGTATTAATTGTGATTTTCAGTTTTTAATTTTCAATTTTCAATTGATATTAAGTATTAGTAAATTAAAAAAATATAGTTCAAATTTTTATTGGTTACTTAAAGCTGCAACGACCAGGCACAAGAGATAATATTAAAAAAAATTCATTTTAGTTTCTTTCAAGACTTGAGCTTATATATGTTATAATAAAAATTTCTACTATAAGGGACTGTGTCATATATCTCGAAGAATCGTGATGTTTAACTTACCAAACCATAAGGACTTAACCACTGATCAATGCAGATAGCAATTTTCTTAAAGATCACACCAGTACTTCCAACAGTACTTGGCTAAACTTGTATGAACACTGATCTGAATAGTTCCACGGTGATATACTTCCAAGAGTTAAGAGTTAAATCAAGAAATAAGTTCTACAATTTCTAATACAATGATAGAGAATTGGTTTTAAAAGCTGAGATCATTAACATTAACGAATTTCTAAAGAAAGTAACTTACAGATAACTAACGAACGAATTTAATATCACCTGCAATCGTGAGGCTCCAAGTCACAAGTAACACAATAATATACCTTATAAAAATTGATTACGTTTAAGGTAACTTCTTTTCGATATTGTGTTTAAATCTACTGTATTTGAAAATTATATATATGTTTATTCAATTTAAAACAGTCGGAATGCAAATTTGGCATTTAAAAAACATGTTAACTTTTTGAAAACTGCTATCAAATAAAAAGTTCTTTGTCAATTTCCCATAAGTTCATTCAAAGCTATATCTTTTTGTTGAATGATAAATTCAATCAAATCAGAGATTTTTTGTTATAAGAAAAAAAATTATCAGACAAACAGAATTTATTTTTTCACCTTAAAATCACTCAGCCATAATGAAGTGCGCATTCGAGTACAGCGACTAAAGCACAATATGGAGGCATGCGCAGATGCCGAATTGTTGAAGATAGTCGTTAATGTGTTAGTAGTGAGCGTCTAGCACCATATCTGCAATATATGGTTCAACTTTCTTCCAGCATGCCAAATGATTGAAATCTCAGTTCCAACTAACCCGTTTTAAAGAACGGTAATCCGCCGAACTGTGTCAACTGTTCAGGGATTAATCTCGTGCAAGGTCGAGGTAAATATTTGGTTTATCAACAATAATTAAAGCAAAACTTAGACACACTATACTGATTATTAACTTTCTATATACATTTAGTATTAGCAGCAGAAAGTGGTATCTGTAGACTTATCAATCTTCACTCTAAGTAGTCAAAAATTGGTTTAAGAAAGTTAAATTAAATCACATACGTATGTTCTCATTCTTGATCCCGATATCTATCTTCGAGGTATGGAATTATAGATGCAAAATAATAATTTCCCGCTTGTTTCTATGTTTGTGCGCATCTCAGGCTGTGGTTCCACTGCATGCGAATTTTGTCTTGCGTGTTCGTACATATTTTTTCTCGTGCGAACATTGTATGTTGCGGTTATATTGCTTGCGAATTGAGAGTTCTATTTTGAAAACAAAATGCATAGTGAAGTTCCAATGTATTAGTGTTGCTGATATAGTTACGCTTTCTTTATAGTGACAAAGAAGCTATATTTCAAATTTAGAAGGTTTTCGAATAGCAAGGAAAGAAAGGACAAACACAAAAATTTATTTTAATTTTATTGCAATTTCGAGTATTGCCAAGTACTTATCATCAGTGGTCTTAGGAAATAATCGATTTTTAATTAGTTTATAGTCCGTATATAATTTGTTTGGACTGTAAGTACTTTCTTTGTTTTTTGAAAACCCTTTAAATTATTTATTAATTTCAAACAACAGAAGAAAAATATGAGTGCAGGATTTTTATTCAACAAGGCATAATGAAGAGTTTGCCAGATTTTTTCGGCAAATTAGAGAAATGTCAGCAATAGTTTTTTAAATCCGCCAAAATTAAAAGGGCAACATTCCATTATATTGTGAATGGTATTTCATTTAAAATTATTAAGTATTTTAACTTTCGATAGTGCATTAATTTATCCATAGGATATTTACGTACGTACATTTGATTTATTCGTACGAACAGGTAAGGCAAATTTGCAACCAATGTGACCGTAGCCTTATGCTGACGCTAGCAGTTTTCGATACTCAAAAATTTTTCTTGTTATTTTGATAACCAGGATTATGATTATGAAAGTTGGCAGCACTGTCAACCTTACCATACGTCATAAAAGCGAACGAAAAATTTAAAGGTGGTGGGTGAATGCGAACTGCTTTAAATTTTTTAATCAGAAAAAAAATCAGAATACAAAGAATCAATACTCCTTCTAGCAGTAAGTATTAAGGATGCATGTTTCAAATGTATAACAAATATATATGTAATATATTGATTATTATATATTATGAAAAAATGTTTGAAGCTGAGCATGTCAATCAATCTATAATTAAATTTAAATTTGCAAACATTTGCTTTAAAGCTTTTATTTTAGGCTGTATTTGTTTTAATACATCTTCAAACATATCCAATCTACGGACAGTATTAAGTTTCTGTTAAATAAAATATTGATAGTAAAGGTAATGTTAGTAGAAATAATAATGCGTTAAATAAGTGAATACTAAATTTAATTCTACAGATTTACAAAAATGCCTGTTCTTGATTTAGATATTGAAGAATCCACTTTGCCTGACGAGCCACTTTTTTTAATAATAAAATTGCTTCGTCAAGGTATTGCAACACTAAGCAACATGGATAAAATTATCGCCTTTATTTTGAGGGAATTAAAGAATTTGGGGATAACCAGATATTACTTAACATATAATGAGGATGATTCTATCTTGCTTGGTGCACATCAGCTTCAGTACGCAAAAATTAGATATGCGAAGAACATATTTCAAGTAATTAAAATGTATTGATTAATTTTGTTGTGAAATGCTGAGATTCGTGCGAATGATTCGTGCTAAAATATAAACTTCCAATAAAATATAAATCTTTAATATACATGTGTTTGATTAATATGATTTATATGCAAATATATATATTTATGTATGATACGTCTGAATTTGTGTTCGATAACCTTTAAAAGTTATATATAAACAGCGTGTATGCTTGTAATAAATAGTTCTACACATTGACTTCACACACTTCAAAATTCTCTCTCATCTTTAGATAAATAATCCATTGCTGCTAGAGGAAGATACTAGCAAAGAAACTAGAATACCATAATACCATTATAAGTGCCACATTTATATAAAAGAAATTTCCATCTTACTTTATTAGCGGACCTCATTCAAGACTATTCGATAGTAGTTAGGATAGGAGAGTTCTGGGCCAAGAAATATGTAAGAAAAAGTGATTTATGAATTGATTTATTTTGGTGTAAGGAAAAAATCGGAAAATGTTGTTGCTACGTTCGTGTTGTCTGGCCGGCTGGCTGTTGCTAGGGGTGCTGGTGGGGCTGGGTGGGGGACTGGCTAGTGGGGCTGGGTGGAGGACTAGCTGGTGGCTGTATATATACATTTTTTTTAAGATAGTAACATTCGAACAAACTAAAAAGATATCAACAAACAAGTTAAGCCTCGGAAAAATAATTGGCTTAACCGCAATCTTCGAAAGCCGTGCGACGAAATATGCCACGCAAAATTTAAATGGAACCCCAAGCCAACAGGATCAGAGGAACACCATGTAACACCCGGAGAGAACGACCACAATTGGAACCTGCAAATCTTTAAACGAATTGCATTATATTACCAGATATATAAAAAGGTGGAGATTCCATGTAACAAGCCTATAATCCTGATGGAGTACGGCTAATAACAATAGTAAGATTGCCAAAATCTTTTTGTGTTTCGCGAGTTTTAGTACAAGTAGCCTTCCATATCAATACCATATCAATTTTATTTATATGTACATATATTTTTTTTTATACATGAAAGTATGATATATAAAACTCAATACTGCGCTTATCATGCGCCAAAAATACAATTCAATTACTTGAACATTTTTCTTCTTTATGTACATATATTTCTAAGGTAATAAAAATTGTTTTGTATATAGGGAAATTGGGTTTAAATTAACTTAACTGACATAGATGATTTCTTCCTTATATAAATAAAAACAAACAACGAATATATGCGACAATATATATTATATATTAACGAATTAACCAAGTCCCAACAAAACGTTTATCTGCAGAAAAGGTTGTAGTCAAATATAATATATGTTGGCGAATTTCCACCATTGGGCTATTGTGCGTCCAAAACATTCTTTTTATTCCATTAATAATCATACGTTTACACTATCGCAATTAACTTAACATATGTGCTGCAATAACAATTATTTTTTGTAAATAGTAATTATCCAAATAAGCATATAAATCGTAGTGAAGAGGTTTCACCATTTTAAGTGTAAACATAGTATAGGTTATTAGAAAATATTTCATCGATATATGAGAGTAACCATTTTTTTGACAATTACAGTTACTTGGTGTGCTGTCAAACGTCACAGCGAAGAACAAAAAGTAAAAAAAATTTTTCATTAAATAAATTTATTAATTAATAGTGAAAATAAAAGAAAAAATTAAAGAAAAACTGATTTAGTAAGTATTGCGGCATGCATATATTAGATGTACAAGAAATATAAACGATATATTAGATATTATTGTATAATGTTGAGAAGGAGTTTGTTAGACGATTCACAAGTTTCGATATAATTAGATAATGTTGATAGTTCTAATACAAACGCGGAGTAATTAAAAGAACTTTGAATTTAGAAAACTTTTTAATTTTAAAATGATTTTAAATTCGATATTTTTTTTTGTTTAAGTTCATCTTTAAGCACACACATCAAGTCCAAAGAACCTATTTGATATTTGCTTCCTTAACCCTTCATATCAAGGCTGATTGTGGTATTAATAGTAGCACACTAAATACGTAAATACTAATTCATACTTTGCAGATTAAAATGGCTATTTTAGATTTGCAACTCGAAGAATCTACTCTGCATCCAGAAGTACTATTAACAATAAAGGAATATCTTCATGAAGGCATTGTTGGCATGAACACTATGGATAAACTTATCAAATTTTTACAAAATAAATTGAACAATTCAGGATTGTCAAATTATTTTGTCGCCTGTAATGAGAATGATTTCATTTTGACTGAGGCATATCATCTACAATATGCAGTAATCAGATATGGGTTTGACATAATACAAGTGATCAGAACTCATTAAAATATGTATTATACTTGTAGAAACCCAGCAAAATGGAAAAATTTTAATAATAATAAACTTGCTAAGAGGCTGAACTAAATTACTTGAACTCTTTTCTTCTTAATGTACAGATATTTCTAACATAATAAAAGCTTTTTTGTATACAGGGTGATTTAGTTTAAATTACATTAACTCTTACTGGATTGATACAAGAGTTTTGGTTTTTAACAGCTAAAATGTTAAGACTTTTAAACTAACATCTGAAATCAAAAAAAAAAAAAGTATCTATTCATTCGACTAGTCATTGTAATATGTCATTATCAGATTTATCATATGTTCACACTTTTTAGCTGCTTTCACAAAGTATTTGCTTCACACATACGAAAATTTCATTCATTCTTCAAAACTATTCACAATAGTACAAGTTTGTGTCGCACAATACTGTACTACTGTGAATTGTCCAAGTTAACTGTTAAAACTGTTAAAATTCACACACAAATCTTCTTAATTAGAACTTGTTTTGCTACCAAAATCAGGAATAATTTGAAATACGAGCTAAAATTACAAAAAGAGCTGTCGTGTGATTCTAGTATTAAATTTATGTATTTTAAATGTCACGACCACTCGTTTAGAGTGTACGAGATTATTTTTAAGTAATTATATATATTGAGTTTAAGTTTCAGGTTACTCATCTTAATAAAGAATAGATCACGTCTGTCCGGTATAAAGAAAATGGAGCTAGAACTACACTAATCTCTCATAGAAATTAATATGTTTTCTCTTTGGTTCTAAGTTCAACTCACTATATGGCGTACCGATTACTTGTTAAGCTTCGTATGGATCTTAAATAGTTATGGACGGAACTAACCAAAGTACAAGATAATAACTTCTTTTTTTTTTACTTCCACGTATACAAATATTTCTATATATAATTTATATATATAAATACCATACATATGTATAGCTTATGAATAATTAACATAATAATGTCTGAAATAAATTTCAGATTAGTTTTTAATTGTTTAAACCTATTGAAAACTTTCGGAAATATTTTTTTACCAAACAAATGATTTAGTATCAAGGAGTTGTATTAGACAAAAAGTAATGAACAACAACGAAAACGGTAAGACTTGCAATGGCGTAGTTAAACAGATTTTGGAGGAAAAAATTTGTACTGGAATGAAAAGGTTTTTAGAATGATTTGAAGCATATTAGATATCTTCTATTCATTAATGCTTGTATGATAGATGATATAATATTTTATGACAGTGATTCAAGATATACTACACTTAAACCTATTGGGTCATTCATTTACCGTGTAAAATTCAAAAATTTTAGAACCATTTCAGATATAGTCGGAGATGTACTCTTCAAGGTCAATTTGAACTAATTCCAAACTGTTAAAAAGTGAACTGATCCAAAAAAATATTTGGATTAATTAAAGTGTAGAGAAATAAGAAAATTAATAATAAGTTTTATGGTTAATCGCTTCTTCGCACACCCTGCTCCGTGGAGTTATGGTTAGGTAACGGCGGGCGTTAGAACGCCACGGTGTCGTGGTTGAGTTTTTAAATGTTTTAGTCTTAATTGAATCATTTCAATGCCATTACTTAACTTTATAGCTAATGAAATTTATTGTGCACATTGTACGAGTATATGAATAATTTGGTTGTATACTAAATCTTTGTTAGCAACTCAACATATTAAAATTTACAATGGCACATTAAACGCTGAGCAAAATTTTAATTGTTGCCATATTGCCAAGTTATGGCGTTGCCGTTGCTATAGCCGTTGCTGTAGGTTCCATTATTGGTGCTACATAAATGTAGCAGCTGTTGCAGCCATAAACGAGATTGAAACAGAAATTTTTGCTTGAAATGGGTTACGCGCATCGAAGACAGTCTGCCGCAACAAAATTAAAGTGGAAAGGTTGGCGCCGCCTGCAATTGTTGTGGGAGTTGGAGAACCAACAAAAAGAAAGGTGGACTTATGTGAATGGAATGTGCTTTTCAGTATGTACACTATGCAGTTAACTAATAATTGTAATGTTGCTTTAGTGCAAATGTTTCTGGAATTAATGCACACTTTAACGTTGCAGTAGTTGCAACGGCTGCACCAAGTGTAGCGATAAGTCCGGTATGTTCATTTTGTGAGAGACACACTTTTTGTCTAACAGTATTTTCACTTTGAGAAAATACTCTACCAGCAGCATTTTATTTTCCAATTTTGAAAGTATAAGAGGGTCACTATTTATATTTTGAGCCTTGGCACGATGTACAATGACGGTGCTTTAAAAAATGTATATAAGATTGCAACAGGTCATGAATTTTTGATTTTTGGATATGAGCCGGAACGTGAAAAGCAGTAGACTGTATGGGTCGACAACCGTGGGTCATCCGTCTGAATTATACACACTTCTGATTTGGCACCTAAAGACTTCTTTTTATGCCCGAACGTCAAGAATAAATTGCGTGAACAACGATTTTTGTCGGCGGAAGAAGCAGAGAGGAATTATAATCTCGATCAAACAGAAAACCATCCAAATATTAAAAAAAATTCATTTTTATTCATTTGGCACTCGTTTATAAAGATGCATCGATAGGTGATCGATAGAGATCGATTGCTTTTATTGCTTAATTCTAAAAAAGACAAATTTCTATTTTAACGAAATTACTGAGACAGAGAAATTAATGAGACAGAGGTGAGACTAGGATTGGAATTTTGCAAACATTTTTTTGTTTTTTGAAGAAAGCTTCGACGAACAAGACTCTTTTGTTCTGGTTCAATTAAAAAATATATATCGGTTCGGTTCCGGATTCGGTTAAAACCAAAAAATGTTGTGGTTCCGGTCCGAGATAATATTTTTATTTTTTTTGTATTATAATGTGTATTTTTTGTATTATTGTATTTTTTGTATTATAATGTGAAATATTTAACTAGTTTCATTTTAAAGTTGCGTTTTATTTTATTTAAAATAATTAAATATTTTTTTTAAATCACGTACATAACACTCTACATCCTTTAATGTGAGTTACTGGAATATTGCAGTAACTAATATCAAAATTATAATAACTATTAATACTAAAATGAAATCAGGTATATATATATACCGAAGTATGCTTTTAAAAAGTAAAATTTTAAAATGGAATTTAATTTTTATATATTCATTTAAAATTTTTTTTTTTTTAACCATAACTGGAAATTTTCCGTATCTTCAACAAAATTATCTTTTTGGCTCTTCCTTGCAATAATCAAAATTTCCGCCTCAAGTTTTCGTTTCATAATCATCATTTTACCGCAAAATGTCTGAACGTGATATTTGCTTGTATAAATTAAAATTAGCAAAATGCGCTCAACGGTACGATGACATGATCGTAGAGTTGAGAAAGCTGGCCGCTATATCTGGAGAGTTCTCGCCAGATGAGCAAAGACTTTTGACTGTTGCTTATAAATATGAGGTGGACTTAAGACGTACCTCTTGGCGTAATTTGGTTGCACTGGAGGACTCAGAGCCTATAAGAAGCAATTGTGATCGATTTCATGTAATGCGTGAGTACCGCGCGGAGATCGAAAAGGAACTATACCAAATTTGTGAAGATATAATCGAATATTTGGATAGAGCACTTATACCGTGTGATGGTACAACAGAGAGTAAAATTTTTTGCTCACAATTGCGTGCTGACTATAATCGTTATATGGCAGAAGTTGAAGTTGGTACTGGCTCTCAGATTAAGACGGACTGGGCGTTAGCTGCATACAAATGTGCTTATGACATTGCTGTGAGTGAGCTAATACCAACAGATCCGTTACGTCTGGGTGTAGCATTGAATTACTCGGTATTCTTTTATGAGGTTATCAAATCATCCAACGAGTCTTGCCGCATTGCTAAGGATTCATTTAATGCAGCCATTGTTGATATGCACAAGCTTAATAGTGAGAATTATCAAGAAACTACTTCTATAATGCAAACCTTGTGGAACAATTTACAGTTTTGGTCGACATATCCAAACTATGGCTCATATTCATCCAGAGATGTTTATCCAAACTATACACAATATCCAGATCATGAAATTGGTGCTGAGGAAGCATATCATAATTATCCAATAGGACGACAATCAGAAACTTCAAAGAAAAGTAGTAAATCGTCTAAGAGATTGTCTAGAAAGACCCGTCACTACAATGCTCTTGTGCTTGATGAAGAGAAACGTATGAAAGCTTCTGCTGCAAAGTACAGTGATTCATCACTAGATAATAAAGCGCTAGAGCTATCTGACAGCGATGAAGAGTATGACTCGCACGATGAAGATGTAGAAATCAAAGGTTATGATGACCGTAAGACTATAGATCACGTAGAAGAAAGTCTTATAACAAATAAAAGCGAAGACTTATTTGAGGAAGATAATGTACACTCAACTTTCGAAATTAAAAAAATTAATAATGCTAGTGACACTAATTCTACTGGGGATAACTGCTCTGAAGTTAGCACTGACGAGGATGTGTGCACAATACACAAAGTAAAATTAAGTTTTACTTCAAATTCCAATTCTAATTCAAATGCTGACAACATATCTGAGGGGGCCGCCGACGATGAGATATGTACGCTGCAAGAAATAAAAAGTAATTTTAAAACTAATGCGGACTCTATATCTGACATAACTACGGACGATGAGGGATGCACACTGCAAAGCGCACAAAGTAATTTTGATACACTTAATTTAATGTCAGAAACCACTGATTGTCCCATTTTGACAGCATTTAATTCAGCTTACGGCTTAACATCTTATACACCAAGTACACAGAGTTCCAGTGATAATATGGGAATTAAAGAAATCTTCTCCATCGCTTCTTCAGATGCAAAAGATATGACAACTGAGCCAATTATTGTGATAGATTCAGACAGTGATGTTAAGCCAAAGAATATAAATGAGGCGGAGTCCACGGCAGTTGATAACAATACTACTCAAAACGAACCAAATGAAACTAAGCCAGATGACAGTAAACCAAATAAAATTACATCAGATGAAAACGTGATAGGTGAAGTTAGTGCAGAAGAGAGTCTACCAGTAGAAGAGAATAAAGAAAAAGTCACCGTAGATATTGAGCAAAATATAATAACGATGAGTGAACTTCCCACCGGTGAGGCCACCCTATAGATATTAGTTAGTTAAACAAATATCTAAATAGAAAAGGGTTAAACATCAAGATTTTTGCAATTTAAAGTATAAATGTTTTCACAGGCAATAATTCAATATTTGGAGTACAAACAATAAATCCATAGTAATAAACACCCAAAAAAAGATATGTTTAATTTTACTTTTTAGTCAAAGACATCATTGAAGATGGATCTCCCACGCCATGCTTGAAGAACCATTTTAAGGGATGAAGTTCGATGTATTTAATGTCCAAACAGTATATCTTTTAAAAAACGCGACTCTCCCATAGAAGTAATAAGCAAGCAACACAACAAATCTATGAACTTGACTGTGTTTCTTATTTTTAAGGATAACAGCTCACTCAGACTAGTAAAAAAGGGGTCTTAAAAATGTTGACTTCAGTTGAGTCTAAGTGCAATGCAATTTGAAGGGTAGAACTAGTCTTATAAAATGCATATCTAATATCCACTGGATATCAACACCCAGATAGTAATACAGAGCTGGTGCCACTTTATGGTAGTTGAAGAGTTGTCTGATACGAATTTTGTATTTTGTCTTATGCTCGCAAAATAATCTTTGTCTACCTAAGCCTTAACTGTTAACCACCAATATTTACGTTTAATAACCATATTAGCTATTGCACAAGGGGCATGTCATTACCCAGAACAGAGAGCAAAGAGTAGATAACAGAGAGGAGCGTGCCTGTTTTAGGGAGATCGTATGCTTTACAGTGTTGTCGCACTGCAAATAAGATATATAAAAACAAGATGGGGTAAAAACGAAATCCATTACTTTTTCATAATTCATTGCAATCTTAGAGCTATCGACATACCTATCAAATTGGATTATTAAATATAGTTATCACTCTTGAAGTTATTGTTTAAACAAATTTGTATAAAGTTTACTTGTAATTTTGACTTTTTCTTACTTTTTTTTCGGTAACTATGTAGGTCATTTTTACACAGTGTTCTTGCTCTTCTCTATTTTTCTAATTTATTTGATTTGACTGCACATCATCAATTCAGCAACGATTGCATTGACTTTTCACATCGTTGCACTTGATTGAGTGCACAATTTCATTAAAGATGCCCCAAAGTTAAATGCAACATTGCCAACGGTGGCATCTTTTATCACTTTTTCCTTTTACGAGTAACTTTCATTTTGTTCCTTTTTCATTATTATAAAGTCACTGGTAACATGGAAAACTGCCATTCTCTGTAGCATACACAAAGGACTCAGAGAAAAATAAAGTGCAAAGGTTAAAAATATTCAAAGTGTATACTCCATCGTACATCCATAAACAATTTTGCACTTGATATCACGTACAAGGAAAAATAGTGCACACAATGAGTTTCTTGACCTTTAGTAGTTCAACGTAAATTCCACCCTTTTATTGAGGTTGTGTAGTTGAAATGAATTCTGCAATCCTTGATTGGTAGGCCCAAAATTTAAACTTCACATGTCCATATATATAATACATATAAATAATAAATATTAGAGTAACTGAAGTGTGTTTTTCGAGAACAAATATGGTGATCTATTAAGTTGTATGATACATCAATGCCTACGGTTATATGTGTGTATTGCTCTATAACTATTTTATGCTATTTCATATTATTTCGTTTAACTATCAGTGTAAATGTTAAATATGACGACTTCGAAGAATTCTGTTTCTAAACAGCAAAAGTGATTCAACATTTATAAGCATGGCTTTCAATGAGGGCTATCGTTCTTAAGTTTATGTAAAAGAAATAAAAAAAAGAATTATTTTTAGTTAGCAGTTTTGGAGAACAACTATCTGATGCTTAACATAAAACTTATAAATTCGATGGACTCAATCAGGATAGAGTCATATAATCAGAAAGGTTTCAAATCTGTCATAACATCATATCTGGTGTATGGTGTTGTGGTGTTGTGGTGTTGTGGTGTTAGATGGCGTGTGTAATTTTGGTTAGTACATTTAATCAATGTAAAAAGTCGTAAATCGGCGTAAATGTTATTGGAATCAATTCCTCAAAATAGTTGATTGCACTACAAACCTTTGTTAAATTACCCTGCTTGAGAAATGATAACTTCACATCTTTTCACACAGTAAAAAATGTAACATAATCAAATGCATACCATCCCATACCGAAATTTACACTTTTAACTTACCGTCGAGTCAAAAAAAAACAAAATAAATAGCTGTCTAAAATAAATTTTCGGATTAAATATCGCATATTGCATCTGAATTTAATATAAATTTGATAAATTTGATATAAAAATAAAAAGAATTCACTGATTATTGACATACACTTTCCAGAGCTGTACTGTTATAAATATATTACGACAAGTGCAACTTTTCTTTTTGACAGCACATGGAGTACACTTGGAAGTTGTAAGTGATCATAAATATTTTTAAGTTATTCTGTAAAACACACATGTGCAGAGATTCGCACAACCAAACATAAATATTTATATTCGTATTCTTAAAAATGTAGAATCATCTCGTATTCCATAAGGAGAAGCTTATCTCAAGACAATTTGTGTCGTTCAATAGTAGCTCCAACCCGACTGCAATGCTTCATATGGCACAAATGTAAGTAAACATACTGCTTCGGTGTGCGATGCATCTGTTAACGGAAGTGAATGCCTTTCTTTGTATGTAAGTAGGCACTTCGAGATATCTAACATTTTACTTACATCATATAAAAACCAGAATTTTCTTTAAATTTTACTTAAATAAAGAGTTTATTTATATAGTAATCTGGACGCTGGGCGCTAGACCTAGTTATCTAGTTCCTCATTTTTAGTTAAATTTAAAATTAATTTTAGTGTTAACTCACAACTAGAAACTACTAGTATTCGGGATTAGATTTTTAAAAACATTTACACTGTCAATTAGAACTGTCTTCCTAGCTAAGGTTGAAGTCATTGATAAGTCCTAAGATTATAGATTAGCTACCATCAAATCGCTAACAAACGTTCAAGCAATGTCAGGAGTGGTTCCGAAATACTGTATACAGATTCTTAAGTAAAGTGATCTATTGCTACAGACGTATTTTAAAATGTCCATTTGCACAGATTTATTAAATTCGTCTTTAAAAACACTACTACGCGCTATGTTAACGAATTTTTTACAATTTACATACGCCATCTACACTAGTCTACAAGTACATTTATGTGTATATAATACATATATTTTTTGTACCTAACAGATGTGGGAGACATATAAAATTTAGATAATTTTGTATAAAAAAAGTGAAAAAATGATAAAAAATTTGTCATAAAAAAATTGAAATAAAATAAAAATATATATGTATACATATATGCAAACTAAATTGTTTGTGAATATTGTAAGTAAAAAAAAAAAAAATATATTTATGGAAATAAAACATTTGCTTGATGTCGTCAACTGGCAGTGGAGATTTATAACATAATTTTCCAAAAATCAACATACAATTTCACTACAAAGGATTATGTTTGCTGCTGCCAACGCCATCGTCGGTGACGTGGCAGCTGTTGTCTAAGTTAGTTCCTTGCCTAGTGCCCATTGAGATGCCACTGCTGCTAGTATTGCTGCTCTTACTCCTATTTATTTTCACAAAAATCCTTGTTATGGTATGGAAATCGCGAGGAAGATTTATGAACAGTTATCGTTACTTTATTAGGAATAAATTGAGATTCAATTTGGAACAAATATTCCAATTGATTTGAATTATGGTGATCTAAGGACTAAATTTTGTTGTTGACAAGCAATGTTCGTAGAGGTGAAGTTGATGGCATCTGTCCACATTTAAATACCGTTGAACTAATTTTCCAATCATTTGTCATCAAAAACAGTTAAATATATCTCTATGCTGATATAGCAAAAATAAAAGCACTAATAATATTAAAAAATAACAAAAATGGTTAATATTATGAAAGGATAAAGGCTTAGAATTTCACTCAGTAAGAACTCCAATTTTGTTATTATTTCTATTGTAATATTGAGATTTTTCAATCAATTTAACAAACAAATTTAATTTTGATATACTTTCCTTAGTTTAGTGTTGCAAATTATTGTCTCATAAAAATAATTAGTAATACAAAGTAATATAATATTTGTTTTTTTATACCACAACCTAAAATAGTTTAACTGATGTATAGCTTTGTAGGCTATCGATTTTGGTACTTCAAAATAAAACATGACACTGTACATATGACATGGATAAGTTCGTCTCTGAGAGCATATAGTAAGTTAATATTATCGCAATGACATAAAAAAATGTGTGCCAATAGCAGTTATTTTTTATTCAAAGTCCATACAAATATGTGTTAATGAAGTTCGTTAATTGTAGTCCAAGCATAGTAATACTTAAGCGTTCCTGTCCCAGTCAATAAATCCTTAATTCACACTAAAAAAATGAGACTAGAAATAATAACTTTGATAGTAAAAGCATGTTATCCTATAAACCCAGCGTGCGGCGCCGTATTAGTTTACATTAGGTTATAAGAAAGCTTCACTATTAACTCTAAACATTTCTAAAATATAAAAACTAAGAATTACTAGTAGCTCAGTCGTCTCAAACTACAAGTATATAATCTCCGCAGGAACTACCATGTAATAATAAGGCCAGATGCCTATCCGATAAAACAAGTTCTAATGATAGGAAGAACAACCCACAGAGAGCCAAAAAAAAGTCCATTAAAAACTATAAGCGATTGCGAAACATGAAAGAAAAATCGGTCAAAAATCGTGCGGACTAGATATACCATAGAAGGAAACAAAGATTTGTATGCTGTATGCTGTGTTTTTATTAATATTAATATTAAAAAATCAATAGATAGTAAGTTCTTTTGTTCTTTTTACACTATATGAAACATCCTTTCTTGAAAACTTTTTGGCCTCAAACTTATTGGGTTATAGTAAGTGTTCGCTTAGAAAAGATTTTACTATATATGGTTTTGAAGAGAATTATCATATGGTATTCATTGTGGTTTTTGTTAAGTATTGCTCAATTAAAATTGTTTTGATTAACTTATGGAAATAAAATCCTTGTACGGCAGTGTTGTGGGTCTCCATTATTATGGTGAATTGTGCATTAAAAAGCTAATCTAAATGACTCTTTTTTCTGTTATGAGTATATGAGTAGGGTTAACTGATGAGAGATGTCAACGAGGAC